AAGCGTTTTAACAAGCGAACGATTTCAATTTATTTATAATAGCTTATTACAGTCAATTGGTATCTTCCTAAGATATTACCTTTTTTTTTTTTTTTTTTCAACGTTGAAAAGAATAAAAATTTTGCAGCTTTGTCTAACATTTTACGTATGAAAAATTTCAACTTTTTGAATATTTAATAATAAATTTTTTTTAAAGCTAATTCATTCGTTATTTTAAAACGTCGTAAAAGGATTTTCTGTCATTTCATTGGATTTTCTTGTTTATGCACTTGGTCACTCATCATAAAATGTTGTAAACATTTTTTTTACTCATTGTCAAATTGTAATTGAAAATTCAATTGATTGTATATTGAGTGAAATAAATTTATTTCTTATATTTCGTCCATAAATTCAAGCTTTTTAAAAATAATTTTATAAAACAAAACACAACGTTCAATATTATATAATTAAGAAGTATGATTGCAAATTGCGATTAATCTTGACGTTACTTTAATTTCGTCTTTGTATGAAAAAAATGCAATATTAAAACATATTTTCTGTATACTTAAATTATTTGATAAACAGTTGGTAGAAAAAATGTTTATGAAGAAGCTCTTCCGTACACGCTGAATGAAATTATCGACGCCATATCAAATTTTAAATTAAAATTCGAGTTCCAAAAGTTATTTCGATGGCTAATAATTGTAAACTCGAAAGAAAGGCAAATTAAACAAGATTTTTTAATGAATTATATTCGGGATCTTACAGTAAGAATTCAATTGTAAATTTTAACGATCGATAAAAAGCGATAAAATTGATTAAGTTTCGATATTTTATGAAGTCCATTGTGAGAATGGCATTAGAGACGTTATATAACTTTTTACTTCAGTAATAAGCCATGACACGACGCAACGACGACGATGATAGTTATCCTTCGTATATGCATGTGTGCGTGTTTGTGAACGGGTGCGTTAAAAAGTTAAAAGTTATTTAAAAAAAAAAAATAAAAAATAAAAAAATAAAAAAAAAAGGAAGGAAGGAAGTGATTTCAATACTGTTTTTTCACGAGAATTGACGGCACTTCTTTTTAAAGAATTTGTATATAAGCATTGCGTTAAATTTATTGTAATCAGTTCCAATTTTATTTTTTATTTCTGAATAAAATGTTGTAATCAGAAATTTAGAATATTTTTAAATACTTATTTAAAATAAGTAGTTCAATTTAACAACAACAAAAATAAAACAAATTGGTAGTAATTAAAAAAAAAAAAAAAAAAAAAAAAAAAACCAACAACAACAACAACTGTGTTTCGCTAAAAAGTTTTCTTTAAAACTGCTTTACGTTAAAATTAATAGGTGTGTACTATAATAAAATTATAAGTTAAAGAATTTGAACAATGATAAGTGAAAACATACACTGTTCTTATGAGTTTCTCGATATATGTTAAAATCAGCGAATTAATTTCTTCTTCGATAATTATTTCTTTTTTATATTACTCATAAGCAAAATAGAGTGCGCAGTAAAAAATTTAGTTTAATTTATTCATTTCATAATGGACTTACACTTGGGTTTTTAATACCATTTTTTTAAACTCTTTGTAATCATACTCATGAAAGTATCTCCAGTACCGTTTTATGAAAAGTATATTTTTATAACCAATACTGGAAACTTTTTTAAATTGTTAAATCTCCGAAATCGTACGCAAAGTTAAAAGTGTTAACTTATTCACTTTATCATAATATTAAGTGTAAGTTCACGATGAAGTATATCGAATTATATCTGATCTTACGTTAAAATGTCCACGTAACACATTCGTCAATCTGTTGCAATAATTAACAGCCGTCAAGTGTGTTTTACTCTTATAATAGAAAATAAATAAAATGAAATTCATTATGGTAACATTGAAAAAAAAAAAGAAGAATGAATGATAGAATAAAAGAAGGAGATAGATAGGTAGAGAAAGAGTGAGAGAGAGAGAGAGAGAGAGAGAGAGAGAGAGAGAGAGAGAGAGAAAGGGAGAGAAAGAAAGATAGAGAGAGAGAGAGAAGAAAGTAATATACATTAACCGCTCGACTTACCGTTCAATTTAAAATGCAAATAAAAAATCAAAAAGATAAAGTATTCGATCCTTGAATTAATAAGGAAAACACGAATGCATACATAGTCGTAAGTGGGCGAATGATTGATAGAAATAGTGTGGAAAAGAAGAGACAAAGAGAGGGGGGGGGGGAGAAAGAAATTTAAAAAATTCTATTCAGCGACGCTTTACATAACTTTCTCTTTTTAATTGTCACTACATTTCATATGTGAACTATACTCGTATTTATTCTCTCGTAAAACAGAGAGTGAGAACGAGAGAGAGAGAGAGAGAGAGAGAGAGAGAGAGAGAAAGCGTGAGAAAGAGAGTAGCTAGAAGAGAGGAATGAAATCTTTCGAGCAAATGCCGAAAAGATAAGAAAATTTCCTTTATCTCGAACTTTATAACAATTATAAATATTATACATAATTAATATTAATCAATTATACATAAATATCATCCCGCGCCGCATTCCGGGGGAATTTGTCGTCGTTTTCGCTGTTTTTTCTACCTCTTCTTTAGAGAATCGCGTTGTTTATTCGATGACGATGAAGCAAAAAAGTGAAACAAAAAAAAAAAAGAAAAAAAAAAAGAAAAAAAAGGAAATAAGAAACAGTAAAAATTATATAAAGTGATGATTTTAAAGTTTAATAAGCAAAAAATGAAGATAAAGACGTTAAGTAAAGAGGGAGGGATATTATAGAGGAATATCGCAAAGGCAATTGTAATGAAAGTGAAATAAAAAATGAATGTGCTGCACTTTCCTTCGTGTATTATTACATTCTTATACATGCGTGAATTCGTGGAAAAGTTAATTAGTGGAGATACCGTTCGGGAATGACAAACTGTCATATATAAAAATTATATGTAAACTGAAAATGCAGTCATAAACATAAAAATGAAACTTTAATTAAGCAAAAGCAAAAGTATACACAAAATGAATGAAAGAAAATAATTATACGAATGAATTATTTAAAATATATCTCCTCTCTCTTCTCACTATGATATAAAATATAAATGAAATAATTAATTCTATCTCTCTTTGCTACCAAGTTGTACTTATTCATAACTAATTTACTTGTACAAAAATGTGTTAAATAATAATAATAAATACATAATATATGATATTCAAATTTCTTTTACTTTCACTCACTTTATTCCCGTTATTTCCATCTTCGTTTTTATTTAACTTTTTTATTTTTTACATATTTGTATATGTGTTAATGTTCTCATATTAAGTATTACGGTGAATTATGAAAATTGCTGCATAAAATTTATCAATAGCTATTTGTACTTTATACGAATGCATTTTTTTTTCTTCTTTTTATTGAAAAGTCACTCTGTTTGTTCGATGTCGAGCAATATAATGTAGATAAAACATGGAGGTGAGTCTTATTATATTTTAAAATGTTTTACAGCTCATTGATTACCGAAATAAATATAAAGTAGGAAAGTTATTTAAAAATTAGATTTAAAAATTTTTCATTATTTAATTAAATATATTTAAAATTAAAAAAAAAAAAAAATTACAATAAAAATAACTTACATAATTATATTTGTAGAATTGTATTAGTAATGGTATAATGTTAGAATATCGATTGAAAAGATTAATTCTACGATAAATTATAATAAAAAAGATACTATTCATATATATATAAATGTGCATAAGCAAGTATTTTAATTATCAATAATTTAAATTATTATAAATAAGCAATTTAGTAATAAAACTAACACTTACGAATCTTGTATCTTCTTTTAATAAACTACCATGTGTAGCGATTAATCGAATAGATACAATTTAAATATTTGTTAATTGAATTGACGATAATATAAACAGTCGTTTAAAGTTAAATGTCAATTACATATAGGAATATTCAAAATTAATAGAAAATAAAAATTAATTTATCTAAATATTTAAAATTGAATGTAATACGCATAATGATTTAAAATTTTTCCTTATAATAATTACGAATTTTAATTGGAAAAGCTGAAAAATATTATTGTAACTTCTACTTAAATGTTCTTAATTAAATAATCTAAAATTTTTATAGTATTTTTAAAAAGATTATTTCTAATCTTATCTGATATATTGAATGAATAATCTATAGATATTCTTTGTGTGTCGATATAAATGTAGATTACGATTACCTAGAGTCAAATTTTTCACAAATATTTTAATAATTTCTATATTTTTATCACTTGTTGCTATTTTTCTTTGCTTACGTAAATGGCTGCGATAATATCTTCTTCATTTATAATGCTTTATTAGTCTTTGGGGTAACTCTAAGAGATAAAGTTTTTATTAAAAAAAAAATATCAATGTAAAAATCTTTTTCAAACGTTACTCACTTATTTAATAGTAATTATAATGAATTCGTCTTTTCCATTGAATATGTCATTAAGTGATCCATGATTATTTAAAGGAAGCACGTAATTGAAAAATCATTTATTAATAAATTATTTATTATTAATATTTGATGTTCTTTTTAGATGAAAATTTTTTATTTTAATTCGCATAAAAATGTACTTAACATCGCCTTTACTCTTAAAAAGAAATATTTGGAAGTAAACAGTATTTACAGCATTTAATCACAACTTGTACATTAAAATTCTCATTATTTTATGATTTTATGATTGTCACTCAATCGCATTTTAACAAGGATTTATCAAATATTACATATTTTTTTCAAGCTTTATTATCGAGGAAGATATTTAAAAATAAATCGTTTATTAGATTGTAATTGCAAAAACGAGTGTATTCGTTATCTATAAATATTTTGTAGATTTTAGTCAATCATGATAAATATGAATATGATATCATTAGTATTGATACATATTGATCGTTAGCAAGTTTCATAGTCTTTTCGTGAAATAAAATCATTATTTTAAGCGTAATTGCATAATGGAATATTCACTGGCCATCTCATTAAATGATTCTGTAACCTTACGACTATTATATCCGTTTAGAATTATTTAAGATTAAATGGTTCGATGCACGTGACACGGTCGTTTCCTCGTGACTCGTAACTCCATCTTATTCTACCAATAATTTAAATGTAATAATGTTACTTACATAAATTGTATAAACAATTTAAAGAGAAGGAATTTTAGACGTACAATAGCATAAATATGGAACACGTATGTACAGCATCAAAATTGTTTAGTGTTTATGTGGGTTCGTTTCATTATGAAAGAAATAAAAGTTCTTAACACCATTGACCACTGATAAAATGCTATAGAGCATTTCAATTTATAATTTTATCTTTTTTTCTTTCTCTTTAATGACGAGCCAATGATTTCTTTTTAATTTGGTACGTTACTTCGAAGCGATAATGTACTATTTAATATTTTGTAGTTTATCAACATAACCTTCTTATTTTTTAGATTTTGCATCATGTATTTTCAAAGATTAGGACATTCCAAAATTTTTCTTATACTTATCGTATGGAGAGTCAGTTCGGTTTTTATCGTTCGAACTTTTCATGTTCCTGATGAATATTGGCAATCGTTAGAAGTTGCGCACAAGCTAGTTTTTAATTATGGATATTTGACTTGGGAATGGCGTATTGGAATAAGAAGTTATTTATATCCCTTTTTTATTTCAATTCTTTACACATTAACAAATATCCTACGAGTTGATTATGACCTTGTCCTTATAATTTTGCCAAGGATTTTTCAAGCTTTGCTAAGTGCTTACTCAGAATATAGATTTTTTATCTGGACTGGCTCTAAATTTGCATTATTTAGTCTTTGTATAAATTGGTATTGGTATTATTGTGCAACTAGAACATTAATTAATAGTTTTGAAACATGTTTAACTATCATTGCACTGTCAATGTATCCTTGGAAGGAGGATTCAAGAACTAGTTTAAATTATCTGTGGATAGTTGGTATTCTTTGCTTCGCGCGACCAACCGCTGTAATTATTTGGCTACCACTATGTCTTTATCACATTTCTAAGAATAGGCATAATACTATTCGATATTTATATATTGGCTTATGTTGTTTAATCCTCTCTACGCTCATCGATGCATTATGTTATGGAAAATTAATTTTAACACCATTGGAATTTTTCAAAGTCAACTTTGTAAATAATATTTCCGACCACTACGGTAAAATGCATCTATTGTGGTATTTTACCTCAGGTTTACCAGTAATACTAGGCTTACATTATATTATTCTCCCTTTTGCAATCATTAAAATTTACAAAAAATATAGTCATTTTTATAGATCATTGATATTAACTTTTATAACAGTATGGTCTATAAGTATTTATTCGCTTCTTGCTCATAAAGAATTTAGATTCATTCTTCCATTATTACCTATGCTTATTTATATTATCAATGAAAGTCTACTCTTACAAAAAATAGATAAATCAAAGAAAAAACTATTGATTTTCTTGTTGATTGTCAGCAATATAGTCCCTGGATTATATTTTTCTATTCTACATCAGCGAGGTGCTATAAGAGTTATGAAATATCTCAGAAGTAACATTGTTACCAACGATATCGACGAAGCGGATATTTTATTTTTAACGGCCTGTCATTCAACGCCTTATTATAGTCATTTACATAAAAATATTTCCATGAGATTTTTAACTTGTGAACCAAATTTGGAAAACATAAAATATTATAATGACGAATCTGATATATTTTTTATGAATCCAATGAAATGGCTGGAGGTTAATTATTTAACCAAAAGTATCGTTAATTTACCAAGTTATGTGATTGTTTATGATACGACGGTAGATCTCATTGAACCATTTCTAAAATATTATGTAAAGTTGATTAGTTATCAAGATACGCTTTTCCCCTTTCATGGGAAATTTAATCAATTTATTATTTATAAGCAACAATTGAATGATAAATCTTAATAGGACCATTTATTCTTTAATTTTATTGTCATTAAGCAAAGATTGATAATATCGTCCTGTTTAATACAATAAATATAGAAGAGATTTAATAATTAAAGGTATAATATTAAATTAATAATTAATGAAATTTTGGATATTATTGATACTGCGGTACAAAGCCGTGCATTAATAATGAAATAATCTTAAAGAAATAATCTTAATACTATTTTTTAATTTCTGTATTAAAAATATTTATGTGGTTTCAGGATACGGATAAAAGTTTAGATGAAATTTGCGAAACTTTGGATAACTTGATGATTGAAAATTTAGAATTATTGGATGAAAAATTATTGGTGACCTTTGAGTTAGAAAAATTATTACGGGAAGGACATTTGGAGCTTGCTAAAGCTCGATATATTAGAGGAAAAGAAAGTATAGGATTATTGCAAATTCCAAGCGAAGAGACTGAAATTCAATCATTATTTAGTTTAGAAACAACCTACGTTAAGAGCGATAAGGATGCTAATATAGAAATCCCAACCTTTGATATAAGCTTGAAGAAATCGAACAAAGGTGAAAAAGAACCACAGAATCCCATCAACTGGTTTGGCGTCCTGGTGCCACAAAATTTAAAATTTGCTCAGAAGCATTTTCAAGATGCGTTATATCTTGCGATTAAATTGGCAAATATTCAAGCCCAATTAGCAAAAGTAACTAGCGAGACAGCTTCTTTTAAGCTGTTGAAGGAAGCTGCATCTTGATCTCTACTATAATCCATTATTTAATAAACGTGTATGACAATTCGTTTAGATTGTTGTTATATAGACGATATATATTAAAAAAATCATTGTAATGATTTAATTATTAATACGGGCAAAGTCGTTGCAATTGTTGTAATTCTTTATCGATAAATGAAATAGCGTTTCTATCTTTCATTATTGGCAGAATTTTGTAGCTAATTCTATATGTCGATGGAGTTTACGCGAGCGAGAAAACCATAATAAAATGTAAACCCATGTCTAAATAATTATTATTATCACCATTATTATTATTATTATTATTATTATTATTATTATTATTATTATTAATGTTGGAAATTTTAATTAAACGATGTTAGGACAATATTAAAAATATATGTATAAAATATTTGTTACGTTAGAATTTTATCGGTAAATAATAAACCGTTGGAAAACAGAGAACAAAACGATCGATTAAAATCAATCATTTCGTACTGCTTTTAATCAGGTGTATTATCCATTAATAATAACAACAATGATCGATGATATTTTTTTCTTCTCTCTCTCTCTCTCTCTCTCTCTCTTTGATCAAGCGTCTAAAGGGGACGGCGGCTTCATTATGTAATTATACATTTATAAATACGAATGAGGACGCAACAACGGCCCATCCCAAATAAATTTTACATAAATAAACGAAAATTAGCCCCCGTTAATACGAATACGAATTATCATTGCGTTGCATAATGGAGAATCGGTGGCCTTAAACAATCGTTGCGCGCTCCAACGTTAAATCGTCACACTCCCCCAGTAGCGCGACGATTTTAATTCCACGTTCAGCGCGCACTCGGCAATCGGGGATCATCGGAATCGCCTAAAAGACTCCTTAAAATCGCCCTAAGAATGTCGCTCGATTCTTCCATGTCAGCCTACCCTAACCGCAAACTTTATCGTCCAATGAACGTCCACCGAATCAATCACAATATACCTCACATCCGGCAACTGTCTAAACCACGACTCTCTAAGTCCCGGAGTTGCTTGCTGCTAGCTGTGCCACTCTCCATGTGCATTAACTCCTTCCTCGTAAACACAAGGTCGGCGCATCGCATGGCTTGATTAGCGAGCGTATGTGCGCTGCGCAGAGAAGCTCGAGGATCCGAGGAACGAGAGGACGTGGTTGCGCGATCAGGCAGTCTCGAAAGTTGGACTGGAACATTGCGGTTTCGTAGAGTTGCGTGAGGGGAACGGGAGGTGGTGAGAAAGCGCCTTTTCTATTTATCGAGAGTCTGTGAAAAGCAGCGGTGGGAAGTAGTAATATTAGGAGGGGTCGCCGAGAAGTAAGGATGCCCGGGAGCGAAGATGACGGCGGTGCTGGACAATGGGATTCGGAGAGAACGTCGAGTGACGATAATGTGGCGGAGAGTCACGAGACCAATAACGGAGAGCTCGTGCCTCTAACAAATGCCGACGGCGAAGCTCAGCAGACCGTTAGTCCTTTTATTTATTTCTTATTTTAAGCACAACTATTATTATTAATTAAATTATCGACAGGCTTCTTTGTTCATCATTATTTATTGCTTTTAGGTTAAAGTTTTTATGTAATTGGGGCGGGAGGAGGAGTATATTTCGAGTCCGACGAATAATGCAGATTTACGGGTTTTTTTTCCCCCCATTCGTCGCCCTCGCCCACCCCCGGTTAAACAATCGTGGCAGACTTTGTTTTAATTATTTAACGTAAAAAGTAGATTTGAGAGTCGTTTAAAGAGAATTTAATAAGAGATTTAAAACTAAGTGTCAAATAATTGTGCTACATGGTAAACTTAATAGTAAGTTGTACTATTTTTGGACGAGAGAAGACTATGATAATATTTTTTATATTTTTGCTAAACGACGACTTATGAGGAAAGAAAAAAAATTAAATGAGGAATTTATTTTATTTACGCTAGCAATTTTAAAGATACTGCATTAAGTTAATCTGTGCATTAAATGGGCAAAGGTCTTAAAAAATTGGACAGATCTTGGATAAAGATCTTGCCACATATATAATGTTATGCATATTTTTATTTTACATATATTTAGGTTAATGATTTTTATATTTAATAGTCTCACTCGAATAGGCTATTTTTGTAACATTTAGAATCAAATTATAATTAAATTGGCTGAAAATTTAATATTAAGGGACTTGAATTATCTGCGATATGTAGCTTAATTATAGATAATAGAGATATATGAAATGCAACCTTCACAAATGTATAAATAGAGCTCATATCTTGTTTATAAATTTTTTTTATTTTAAATATTTATACTTCTAGCTTGTATTTTTCTACATTGTAATTTTTTATAGCGACATCAATAATATTTTTCAACTCACTTTATAGACCATAATTTTTAATAAAAGTTTAATTATTTTATTTTATTTTATTCATAAATTCATAAAATTAAAATCAATTTTAGAAGTTCAATTTTAATCGCATACCTGTATATTTATCAAGTAACAAAAGCAACAATCAGATTTCAGTTTATTTTTCAGTTTAAAATTCGATCCGTCATTATTATTATTGTATTAATTTGATTTCAATGAGACTATAACATCAAATAGATATATTTGTAATATTCATTTAATTTACCAATTGAACGATTATTATCACTGTTCTTTTTATTGTCATTTATTAATTTTTACAGTATGTATATGTATAGTTGTAGCTATAGGTATGTTTATACTCATGTATATATTTATATAATTTGTTTAGTAAATTTGTCTCGATATAAATATTATTTCGAAATGTTTACCTACCTTAATTAAACATTGTTTCCCATGCGACATTCAGATTTTATGCATTTTATCGATTATATTAAATTTTTGTCTCAATTTTCATGCTTACTCAATCAATTGTTTTAGGTTAATAATCAAGAAGTGAATCAGAGACCAAAACCTAATGAAACTTATGCACAATCGTTCTATGCTATTACCAAGTCATTAATCATCAGGGCTGCAATCATTTACTATATTAGTTCTTTTTTCCGAAATCCAGCTCAGAATTCACAAGCTTCTGCTGGTAACTCTGCGGCAGCTCAGAATAATGCATTCAATATTTTTGCCAATGGAACTGTGTTCGATTTACATGTTTACTTATCAGAATACGAATTTTTTAAAGATTTTAACGATTCTAAGGCAAAAGTTTGGTCAGAGTATGGCTTGATTTATGGAGATTGGTATAGCGGTCCAAATGGTGATGGTAGTAAAGTGTTTACACACACATTTACGCCATCAAAAAGCTTACTGAATAATGGATCGATATATCTTCATGTTTATGTTACAAAAAATGGCAAATCGCCAGATCCTTCGACAGGACAGAAAGTCTATGCTGGAGAGATGATGTCATATACTAAGAAAATGTTAAATAAATTTAAAAAAATTAAGTATTTAAAGATGCATAATTTATTAACTGGACAAACACAATCCAGCGAGGAAGATATCAAGGTAGCTATAAAAGTTCATTTATTATATTATTTTACTTATAAATATTTGTGTTAAATGTAATTGTTGCACATTATAAAACGCCCTTTTATACATAATACATTTATATTTTCTTTTAAAATTATAATGATTTTTATTTATAGAAAGCTGATTTAATGGATCAAGAAATTGTATCGCATTGGCATCCAAATTTAACTATAAATTTAGTAACTGACCAATCAAATTGGGTACGCGGTATGGTGCCTGAAACATTAGACGACTGTATGTAATTTTCTATAGTTAATTTTCTATTATATAATGGAGAAAATTTAGTAATTATAATTATAATTTATCAGATATCCAATTCACATCTAATGGGAAATTTTACAAACCGGTCATTTTTATGAATGACTTTTGGAACATGCAAAGAGATTATCAACCATTGAATAATACTGTCACGAAACTTGAATTGCAATTAAATTATCAACCTTTATCGTTATTTAAATGGGAGCTGTTTTCAGCTCAATCGATGAGGAACAAATGGACTTCTTCAGTTTTTGGTATATTATTAAATTAACAAATTTAACAAATTTAACAAAAACTTCTCTAAAGAACAAGTTTTTTCTTTTGCTTACACAGAAAATAAGAAAAGAGTTTATTTTTGTATTTTCAAATAAATATTTATTGAAAAATATTTATATATGAAAATTAATTGATTTTTTTTTTTTTTTTTTTAATTCAACAAATTCTAATATTAAATAGTAAATGTAAACATTTTTCAGGTGATACGGTAGAAGATAATAGCGAACATCAAGATACATTAAAAGAAGCTCTACTTGAAAATAATCCATATTTACTCGGTATGACTATTATAGTCTCCATTTTTCATAGTGTTTTTGAATTTTTGGCCTTCAAGAACGGTGAGCTAAAACAAACATAATTTATTTCAGTTAATTTGTTTCATAGTTTTAATAAATTGTAATTACATTCGAAGAGAATTTACTAGTAATTGTTAAATTAACGAATATCAATCAAATGACCGTAGCAAAATATATATTAATTCTAATTTGTGATTCAAATTTATATGAAACAAAATAACTGCATGAAAAAATTTTTACATTGATTATAAACTATCGTTTATGTATTTTATAGATATCCAATTCTGGAACAATCGCAAATCCTTGGAGGGTTTGTCAGTCCGTTCAGTTTTCTTCAATGTATTCCAATCTCTTGTTGTTATGCTCTACGTCCTTGATAACGAAGCTAACACTTTAATACGCATAGGTTGTGGGGTTGGTCTGGCAATTGAAATCTGGAAGATTAATAAAGTTGTTGATATCAAAGTGGATCGATCTGCTAAAGTTTTTGGAATATTTCCTCGACTGATTTTCAAAGACAAAGGTTCATACGTCGAGTCTTCGACAAAAGAGTACGATAGACTTGCCTTCAAGTACCTATCATGGGCATTATTTCCACTTTTAGGAGGTTATGCGATATATTCTCTTATGTATTTGGAACATAAGGGCTGGTATTCTTGGGTATTAAATATGTTGTATGGTTTCTTATTAACCTTTGGTTTCATTATGATGACGCCTCAATTATTTATTAACTATAAGCTCAAGAGCGTAGCTCATCTACCATGGCGTATGATGTCTTACAAATTTTTAAATACGTTTATCGATGATATTTTTGCCTTTGTCATCAAAATGCCAACATTGTATAGGTTAGGTTGTTTCCGCGACGACATTGTATTTTTCATATTTTTGTATCAACATTGGATCTACAAGACCGATCACACGAGAATTAACGAATTTGGGTTCAGTGGAGAAGCTGATAAACAGGTCACAGATGATAAGAATCAAGCTATTGAAAACAAAGACAATTTCAAAGAAGATAAGAAGATAAAATAGAAAATTATTATTAAACATTTGTGTGAAAGTTGTGTGCTTGCAAATAGAAGGTCTAAAGATATAAAATTGTTTTTCGCGACTTATTTTTACCTGGCTAGAACGTTTCATTGTTGATCGCAATGTATTATTTAAGAATTGCTTTTAGAAAGTTTCTGAAATAATACAAAGTCTTAAAATCACTAAAATCTAACGAATTCCATAAATGTATAAAAACACTCAAGATTGTATATTTACCTTTGCTAATTTTATTCCCCATTAATATTCATATTTATTCTAATTATAATATAACACAATTTTTAAAAAGAATTCATAAGCTTTTAAGCACAGTTTTTTTTTTTTTTTTTTTATGTATCAAATTCCAATTAATATTAATTGTTTAAGAAATAATAATAAACTTTATGAAGGTAGTTCCACCAAAGAAACTTCTTCCATCAAAGTTCCCTAGTGTTATAATAATATTATTGAATTGTTCGAAATTTATGAATTATGAGATGAACTAAAAGTTCATTTTCACAATATTTGATATTTATTTTAATAGAATTCTACTAAAATGAAAATGAAATATATTTTAATAGAATTCAACCGTTACAATGTACTATTATAATTTTCGATAATTGTATTTATTTCATTATTAAAAGTAAACACAAGTCATCTAGCAAATTATGAATATATTGCAAGAAATGCAAAATAAAAATATAGGTTTAGTTATTCGATATCAGTAATTTAGAGTAATAATCATATTTATTTGTTGCAATGAAATTTTCTAACCAGGAAAGTAAAGTAATTGTGTAGTCTATGTGGTAACCCTTAGTATTGCAATAAAGGACTTAACAGTGACGCATAATTAGAATTATAGGCATAGTTAATAATATAATTGTTGAATTATTTTGAAAATAATCCATACATCAATTTTTAGCTCTTGATAACGATTATTTTATGGTTTAAAAAAAAAATAAGTATCGAGTGTAAATGGAGTTTATATTGTGTCCAAGATCATTTATATGGGAGACGATGACAAATGTGTAAATGTACGATGTGTTGTGTGATAATGCCAAGTTGTGGAATTGAGTTTGATTAAAAAAAAAAAAGAATGAGCAAATGTTAATGTAAAAATAATTCACACAGTATAATAAAGATACTTGTTATTTGCGAATCATAAAAAAAAAAAACAATTATCTATGAATTGTAGGAATATATATGTTCAGCTTCCAGTTTCTAGTTCTTACTTTGCACTGAATTATTAACAATAAGTTAGATTTACTAAAATAACTAAAATATTTATAAATATATAAAATATTGAATTAGACTATATTTTTTAAAAATAAATATCTTATTATTGGAGTCTGTTTTAGTAAGGAAGTAACTAATTATCATTTAATTTAATTTTATTATGTAATTGTCCACCTTGGTATGATTTTGGACAGTTGCAATATATCAATGCTCATCTTGTGAATTAATATTCCTACCTGCCTGAACATCTTCTTCTTCTTCTAATTAATTAAAAAATAACTGCCAATAGTACGCAATACTTGCTCATAATCTTGATGATCTTATTTAATTCAACCGATTCAGAATTTATTAGTTAAAATCAAAGAGTGTCTTTAGCTGGCAGTAGTAAAGACTCTCTTTTTATCATTTTATATAGTACTCGATACCAAGTTCCTTTGATTTGGAGCTCTTGCATTAGAAAGCTCTGGATGTAATATAATTTCCACAGACAGAGAGTAGATTAGCAAGAGAAATAAAGTGCTACACAGTTTTGTGCAGCAGTTGTCTTTTTAAATTATTCTCCCAAGCTTTCATAATAAATACAGGTATTGATCTATCCATTAGCTGTATTTAATTGAATTAGTTTGTATGTATAACTGTGTTGATTTCGATATCATTCAAGGGCGCATCTGTAAATACGAAAAGTCTATATTTACGACTTGTGTGCGTCTAAACATAAACTACACCAAAACCGTGTATCTTTCTCTTTTCATGATATTTTGATGATTCAGAAATCAGAAATCGTTCGTAAGTGACGTGTCGTTCATGATTGTTGCGAACACTTTTAATGCTTGAACCCGTATGTATTTTCCATATATTTTTTCAATTGTACATTTTTGCAGATAATTGAAAACAGTGGCATTTTAATGTTATTAAAAAAAAAAAAAAAAAAAAAAAAAAAAAATTAATTGCACTGATAATTATGTACATCTTTGTATTTCTTTATTAAATTTAAGTTCTATCATAAATTTTGTATCCTTTTTTTTTTTTTTTCTTGGATGCGTTCATTGATTTTATGAAGATTTTTGATTTTGAAAATACTTTCGTAATTAGTCATGTAATCGAGCGACAATAATTTTATTTTTCCACCAAGACAAATCTTTTTCTTGAATTTTATTTAAAATATTTGAATTTTGTTTAAAAAATATACAGGAAGTTGTGTTATATTGAATTGAAAATTGAAATGAAACAAATTTTAGTTAAATAAATAAATTTTAGAACTTTTGATTATTTCCTAATAAATATACGACATCTTATTGTATAACATTAAATATGAATTTGATAGAAATAATTTTTCAGAATATAGAATGCACGATTACTTTTTTTCTCGTATGTATCCGTTGAAATTTTAATTCTTTGTATTCTTTCACTTTACAAAAATGTAATTGAATATTTTAGATAAAAAATTAAATTAAAAGAAGAAAGTTTCCAAATTTTCATAATATAAAAACAAGTGCGTTTAAAAGTATAATTTATATGAGAAACTTTGTTGACAATTATTTTAAAATATAGCAATAGCTTTATTGATCAATAAGTAATTTACATTATAAATTGAAATTTGTAAATTATTCAATAATACAAATATGAAATTTTTATTTGTAAGAGATGTTGGAAGTATTTTTTTCTTATAATTAACAAATTATAAAATACTAAAATTTTCTAGTGTATTAATATATATATATATATATATATATATATATGTAGAATATTGTTTAATAAAATTTTGTTAAAATTATTTTAGTATTTTTTCATAATTTACAAGTTTTAACGAGAATAAATGAAAGAACGTTAGACTTTACATAAAACTAAAAATAAAGTTTTTATTTTTACTTTATATTACTTTTACATTTTGTATAAAGCGTAGCATTCATAATAATTTGTTTTTATTTTAGTTTGTTCCGTAATTTTTATTTACAATAAAATCAATTTCATAAAGTAATGTTATAAAATCAAACGAATGTTAATATAAATACAGTTTAAAATTTAAATCGTGCCTAAATAAAATAAATAAAAAAAAAAAAAGCGAACTAATAATTTTAGAGAATAGAAAATTTATTGTAATTTCATGTTATTTTTTATTCATATTTGATTATTGCGAGTTTTAGTTTCAAACTACTTTTTTTCTATGTATATATATATATATATATATATATATATATATATATAGTGATAAATTCATGTAAATTGTAAATTGTATAAATTATTTATACAATAAATACATAAATAAACAAATTACCTTATTAATTATACTAAGAGATTTTACTGTGAAATAATTTATTTAGAAACTCTAAAGTTCATTCTCTCATTAATACAAGGCCACTTTGTTATTATTTTATACATTCAATGCTTATACCTTATAATTATTAAATATACTTAAATATTGTCTTAGTATTGCCTTAGTTTATTCAGAAGTTTACTCGAAATGCTACTCTTACATTATAAATTTTTATTGCCCTGATCACATCCAAGAGTAGCATACATTTTTTTTTTTTGCATTTAATGATAATACTTTTATCTTTCTTTGACGTCCATATTTTGTCCATTTTAATTGAAATGTCATTTGTATTTTTTCCCAGACTATCTGTATTATTTATTTATTTAATATTATTATCACAAAACTAAATTAAATGGAGTTATTAACTTCGCAATTACAATGTAAAAAATTATTATTATTTCGACAGCTTTTCTTCCAAATTCTTTCGAAATGAATCTTGTTGTCTCTAAATGCTATTTATTGTACAAAATGTTTCATGAAATGGCATACATTAGCGTTAGGTAAATCCATTTGGTAGAATAGCTGGCACTGCAAAGCTTTAGAGAAGCTTTAAAAACACTACTGAACAATTCATCCGTCCTTGATACCCAATTAAGGAGTTAAATATAATAACCTCACTAGAATACACATCACTGTCGTTTAACTCGCTCAAAGGATCACTGAATAAAAAAATCTATTAATAATAAAATAGGTACACGGGCTACTTTTATGGGGAATGACAAATTCGTTACAAAAAAATAAAAAAATAAAGACATACGTTTCCTCACAAAATATTTTTATTTAGAGTGAATTTATCACAAAGACCTTATTATCTTTACTTCACAATAAGTTTTAAAGCATATGTTTATATATGTATGTGTGTACATGTATATCCGTTTGGGCCAATCGCGAGCCTCTGAATGCTCGTCCTCGAACGTGTTTAATAATAATATAATAACAATTCGCTCATCCTTGCGCGATCGTCCGCAATTTATACACAAAATTTTCTCCGCTCGTGGCTTCGTTGGCCATTAGAGATCCGCGCACGACATACCGAAGTGTGCAATGGCCAGTTCTGGCGAAAGGACTCACCGAGTCTCTATCGCTGCGTCGTCGTCGCCTCATCGAAAGCATTGTGTCCGCTGGGCTCGACAATCGCTTGGAGGTTGGCGATCTCGCCCCCGGGGTCGCAACAATCGTTCATGGCTGATTGTATAAAAGCGAGACTGCCTTCGCTCGAGGAGGCGAGACTCGCCGACAGCGGCGGCGATCTCTCTTTCGGTGAGGCCGATGACGCCAGATTTACCGCGGCGCTCACTCCATAAGTCGCTTGCTCGAGCTTCCCGTGGAGCTCGAGGATACGGCCTTCCAATAATAAATTTATTTCCAACTGCGCTCGGTATTTTGACTCGACGGCCTCGAGCTCCGCCGAATGCTTTTCCTTCGATTCTTGAAGTAGTCGTTGCTGATCGACGAGCTGAACCTCTTTGCGAGCGTCCTTGTGCTCGAGTTCGGCCAGGTGCGACCGCAACGATTCTAGTTGTAGTGTCTGTGAGTCAAACTGACGACGGAGATCTGAGAATCGAACAACGAGGATTCAATTAGCCACGGATTGTGATGAAAATTGATATGCTAATAATACTTGGTTTCATTTATTTAATTTTAGGGACTTCCTAGTTCTAGCAGCCCCTTAAATAAACAATACACGATTATTCATTGATAATTAAACGTTTTTTATTGTTTTTGTCCTTACTCCACTAACAAATTTTTTAATATAATTTTAATTTTATTTTGCGATGCTTTTAATTGCATTTTGCTAGCTGGCATTACTTGAATCATAAATGCAAATGGGAAAATAAATCTTTCGAAATTGATTTTAAATCAATTCGTACTTCGGATGGAAAAACGTATGGGCATAACATTTTGTACGACTATTGGCGTATATGACTTTTATAACGGTTATTATTAGCTAACAGAATGTATGCGCATAGGAGAGAGAGAGAGAGAGAGAGAGAGAGAGAGAGAGAGAAAACAGAAAAGAAAAGCGCCCATTATATAATTGTAGTTAATTAAAAAATTGATTGGAACGTGATTTACTATAAACTTCCTCGGACCAAGACCTTTGTATCTGTGCTGCTTCTTGCTTCGCCATATGAATTGGTCCACCCATTTTTTCTTGTATTCTCCCTTGAGCCTGTACAATGTAAAGTAAAGACCGCCAACGTCATTAATACAATAGGGAATGATGATGATTAAAGTGCTTATAATGGAACGCGTCACAGTTTAGCTAGCGGCAAGAAAGGAAAACGTATGACAAACCTCTCCGAGTAATATAAATCTTTTCTGCACGGCATCGAGCACCCGTTTAAGCTCTTCGCTCTGATTGGCCGCTCTGAGAGCCTCTTTAAGCTGGTGCGCCGCCTCGAACAGCGTCGCCTCGGCAGCGCGCGTTTGCTTCTCGTGATCCATCACTTTTTTCTTCTCATTCTTCAACTCGTCTTGTAAATGCTCTATTCGGTCCTTTAGTGCCGCGTTTTGTTGCTGCTCCTCTTTATACTGAACATACAAGAATGCAATTTTATACCGTTGACGTGCATTTATTGGCAAATGAGTAGATTAAAATATTCCAATCGCTACCATTATATTTCATGCGAGTTAACATAAATATTATTTTATTATTAGTGATGCTCCATTAACACAGACTGACTTATTCTTACCTTAGTTTGACAATGGTGTATGGTTTCTAAGAGCTTATTTTCTCCTGTTCGTGCTTCCATGTTACTTAGACTCAGCTCACTTTTTAATGTCTCTATTTCGTTTTCGGCCAATTTTAATCGATTCGTCTACACGTAAAAGAAAAGACAAACTTAATGCACATATTTTTCCACATGGCCACTATGTTACTATGCTAGTTCTGCTTCGCTACCTTACTCCTTTTACTATGCTTATAATTCATATTAACGATATATTTAATTTATGATGGATCAATAAAATTTAAATTTAAATTCCACGCAAAATCAAATAATCTTTATAATAATTTTGTCCTTAATGAAACGTCTTGGAAATTGCCAAACAGTCCTGCTAAGTAACCAGATCTTATTAAAATAATAAAGAGCCTCTATATCCTATAGATACTTATATGGGATTGCGTAGTTATGTATTTAAAGATGTTGTTCCACTTTGGCCAATAATTATAAAATCCAATTGATTTCATGTATTTTACGCGTCAAATCAAGTTGAATCGACGATGAAACATTATCTGCCCAACAAAATAAAGAGCGCAAGAGCCACTTAATCACCATGGCGGAGTTGAGCTCCTCGAGGGCGCGCGAGTCCCTCAGCTTGCCAAGGAGTCGTCGATTGCGCTCCGCGTGAACCTCCCGTCGCTGCCGTTCAAACTGCAGCTGCATCTGCATGAGCTGTATTTGCTGGTTGGCTCGATCCATCTCCGCCCAGCAACTGCCCGGCGTCTCGCCACTCTCCTCGCCGGACTGCTGGTGCTGTGGTCCACCGTTCTCGGATTCCTCTTCCAGCCTCGATCGTCTGCCACCCAGCCTCGATCCTAAAAGCAGCAGACTCCTGTTATAAGCGTGCTTGTCGATCTCCCTCCCTCCCTCCCTCCCTCCTCCCTCCTCCCGAACCATCTCTCATGTTGAATTTTAATAGGCTTCGTATAACAATGACAGACGAATAAGACACACTGTATTCATAAACGAGCAATCGTCGCGCGAGAAAACTTTAACGAAGATTATTCAAAATGTCTTAACGGACTTGCTCATAAAGCCGAACCCCCAACCCATCGGGACATTTTCAACGATACGGTCCTATCCAATCATCGAATATCCAATCCAAGAAGTATTAACCATCCAAAACTCACTGGATTTGGAATCGGGATGTGCGGAGGACCTCGCGCAGAGTTCGATGTAACGGTCGAGCATTGTGCCGGGTGACAATCGGGCCTCGGATCCGTGGCCGTGACCGACCGTCGTCGCCATTGCCGTCGAGTCCGCCGTTAATGGCCTCTGGTCGAGCATGTCCAAGAAGAAACACTCGTATGGGACGAGACCGCTGGTCTGAGTGGCCACCTCCTCCGTGGATGTCGAGGACATCTTCAGAGGGCGAAAGGTACCGATACCGATGCTGCTACTGCTGCTTTCGCTCGAGGCCCCGGCTATGTTGGGACAGGATTTGGCACGGCGTCGGATCTACATTGCGTTATGTGATTTTTCATCATTTACGAATTTCGATGATATATTTCGATATTGGGATACTTTGATTATTGTAGCTTAAGAAGAAGCTTTGAACCTTCGTAGAGTGATAAACTACTTCTTTCTGACTCCCAAATTCTGTCAATTGATAATGTCATATTTTTATGTTCTTTTTTTTTTGTTTTTGTTTTTGTTTTTAGTTTTTAGTTTTTAGTTTTTAGTTTTTGTCAATTAATTAACGAAACGCACGCATTCAACAAGATATAGACAAAACATGATTTAGTGTAGTACCTGTGACGATAGTACTGGAGGTGTTGGGTATTTGCAATAGAACTTTAGTCGCACCTTTCGCGACAGGTCATTAAATGACTGTCTATCCTTGTCAATGAAGTCTTTGGAGCCAGAAGTCGTTGATTTCGTCAATGAAACAATATCGGAAACCTGAAACAAATGTTTCACACGCATATCAACACTTTCGTCGAATTGCACAAAAATTGCAAATTCTTTATTTAATCGTGTATTTAAGTATTAAAATCTTTCGTTCGAATGTAATGACAAAAGTATATTATACTGCGAAGAGTTTATCCAAGTTTTTAACAACGCCATTGTGAAAAATAATCGGCGACTCTATACGATGAATTAACTATATAAGAATTATCTACATTAGAATTACCGAAATTTATAATCAATTTCATCGCAATGTCAAACATTTTTAACATAAATTAAAGATTATTCATTTATGAAATATCTGAACTTTGATCGATACAGTTGTTCCTTAATCTCGAATCTTTCAACTCGACGCGCAATTAGCCGATTGTATTGTAAGAATAATAACGACGTTGCGCTTTAAATCGCCTCTTGAAAAAAGTCGGACTTTCACCTCTTGATCCTCGAGTTGTATCTGCTGGTGCTGGCAATTGTCCACTTTCCCATTCAGCATCGTATTGATCTGTTCAGTGGTAATCAACGGCGTGGCTGTCGCCGTGCCAAAAGTCCGCTTGACATCCTCAAGTTGCCTGGGTGTGAGGGTCGGTGTTGTTGTCGAGGTCGGTGTCGGCGTCAGTGTCGGCGTCGGCGTCGGCGTTTGCTCCTGATGTAGGGCGTTATGTCGATCGGCGGCGATTTTGCCGAGCTTCCTGTCGAGTATCGAATTGCCGTCGCTCAAGATGCCTCCACTGCCACCCGTCGTGAAGCTACCGAGCTGCTGATGCTGTTGGTTGACGGGTGTCGGGGTTGAAGGTCTGCTGGAGTTGAGGAGGCCGACGGCACCGTTCCCGAAGCCGCTGAGGGCGCGCACCGCCGCTGAGCCTACCGGCATCTGTCGACTTGGTATTTGTCGTAGATCCTGAAATTCTCGATCGAACGTGTCAATGGTCATTTCTGACAGGATCCACCATCGGAAAGTGTTGTAAGGCTGAGAGCTTATTGTCGTATTACCACGAAGCGTCGAGGATTTATTTATTTTTGGACGAGTTAATGAGTATTTTTGCCAAACAAACCATACGTATATTTAAGTCATTTAATAATAACGATTATGATAGATATGATATCGAGCTTTGTATTCGTAGCAGAAATTTTGAAAATCAACAAGCTTTTAGTTGATGATAAAATTGAAAATTTTGAGTTAACGTAAAAAGTTAGTTTCAGGCGATATGAAAGGCTAAAATTTTTGTAAATGATAAACCGAAGGAAGAAGTTTTCTCATCCTTCATCCTTATGTATGTGGTATTTTTTTTGTTTTGTTTTTTTTTTTTTAAATCAATTGTCTTATATATTTGATTTAAATAGTGTAAATTTTGTAGAATTACCATTAACGCTGGAATATCAATTGGTAAAATTGCCAAAATAGCTATAAAAATACAATTATTTTCCAGAGAAATATTTCTTCGATCATGTCGTCTTTAAATCATGCATGTTTTGGTACTTAGGATTTGTAAAAAAATAATTTAAAAATACCATTCGATAAATTAGGACTTTGGTCTTCGTTATTATTTAATTGTCTATCAATAAGTTTTTCGTTATTTCTGTTATTTAAACGAAATATGTTATTGAGTATTCGATAAACAATTTTTTTTCCTTCGTTTTTCTTGATTAAGCAAATATTAAAGATCGATAATCATTGATTGTAATTTAAATACAATTCTATATCGATCAAAATTGATTTCAAATAATAGTATGGATATTGGCAATTCCAACAGATATCGTAATTCAAATAAATATAGTTAAGCCAAACGTTTATAAGAATCGAATGTAGTCATATTAAATAAAAAATTTCATATATCATGACTTTGAAATTATATAAAGGTAATATTAGTTTCAATAATAAATATAATGAAACGTAATATTTCCGATTAACGGTGTTTAATAATATTTACAATGAATTAAAAACATATTTTTATGCGTATTTTATTGGATTTTTTTTTTTAATTAATGTTCTCATCAATATATTGAAGTATTTTAACCATTATGAAATGAATTAACGACTGATGTAAATAATTATAATTATACAAAATATGACTATATCTGACAAAAGGTAAAAAAAAGTTTTAAACAAAATAAAAACAATATCTCCTCTGTAGGTATGCAAGAAATAGAAAAAGCGTTTTTCGATATTTATAAGAACAAAATAGTAAAGTACTCAAAAGTTGGCTTTGAAAGACAAAATTTTACACACACAATTATGAATACTTTTAGTACTTTGACGATGTTAAATATTATCGATGATTCAACATATTTAAGATTACTATAACTTCAAAAGAATTTCATTCGCCATAAATATACTTGGAAAGTCGAATAAAAATAAAAAATACTTAAAAAGTAAATAGTATTCTTAACAATTAGACGATCGATAAAAATACAATAAAAGACAATGGTTAATAATTGTAATATTAATATTTTCCTTCAACTGTTATGTATATAGCAATATAGATTAAGTATTTGATAGATCTGCAGTAGCATTATGGAACATCCAGGCTTTGTGAATTTGAAAGAAAAGGTTCGCTACTTTTAGAGAATATCGTATAGAGTATGACGTGTGAAATAATGTAGAAGAATTCACTTTTTCAGTGTCTTGTTAACGAAAGAAAAAGTACCTTCACGGGAGTCGTCTCGGGCGTAGCCTCGACGGCAGCCTCCGGTGGCGATGTTCTGCTTCGATTGTTGACAAGAGTCCCGGTCGCAGTTACCGACGACGCCCCGACGCCTGGTGTCGAAGGTGTCGATTTAACTTCGTGGGAGATCGGTGTTGCCTGTAAGGAGCTCGGGGGAGGCGGACTATGTGCGCACACTACCATACTCGGGGACCAGAAGCTCTCCTGACTACTGCATTGGAAGCCCGTCGTCTCCGCGACCATTGGGAAGTCGACTATCGTGCTTATTAGGGTGTACAGACCCGAGTCATCTGGAATTGAAAAGTTGTCTCGTGAAGCAAGAGATATAGACTTAGGCTTTCGCTCAAGACTAATAATACTATCAGGATGAATTGGGAGTGAGTGAGCGAGAAAACATGCGAATTACAAAAGATTTTAGGTATGTACAATATTTTTTTTTTCTTCTTCTTTTGGATCAAGCATACTCTCTTTACATACATTAGCTAACTGGAATATATAAAATCATGACATAAATATGAATAATATTGAATGCAAACTTATAATTACTTTGAATCAGTTGGTGATATTTAAATGAAAAATTCTTACCTAAAACTGGCGTATAACGTAAATTACCAAATAACATTGGTTCCTCTCGGCTCGATCTTTCCAATAATGAAAAGCGACCACACTCTGCAACAACGTCATGGTGTTCCATTTTTTTCCACCTTTGAAAAGAAAAAAAACTTATTTTTAATAATCCCCTTTAATATATATATATATATATATATATATATATATATATATATGTGTGTGTGTGTGTGTGTGTGTGTATATAAATTTATAATGATACTACCTTAACGAAGAGATCTCGGATTCTTTGGACATGGTTACAAGCAATGGATGCATGCGCACGGAATCTAAGAATGGACTAATGATTTTTTTAAATATCGTCAATTGATCACGTTGGAGATACTGTTGTTTTAGAAAAAAGACAAAGTTACACGGATACATGGCGTAAAGTCTGTGAAACAGGTTCTGCAATCCATGCTGAAATATAATATAGAGACTTGAAGTATTTTAACGATCCAATTGCTTTTCTGACACACATTTACATCCAATTTTATAATACATTATGATATATTAGTGCTATATTTTGATCAATATATTTAATAATTTTAACGAGAATCATTGATTATTTAAAAAATTCAATTATTCTTCACCATTATATTCTGCTTTATAATGTTATTATTATATATAAAGTTTATTTGCTCAGAACAATATGGGAAAATAGCCGTAAAATTGTTTCTTTTAAGAAAATACCAAATATCAATGAATTTAAAAATTTACTTTCATCACATTATAATTATATATTTTTATTAAGCTAACGAGTAACGTTATTTTAATTACGGAGGAAGAACTTATTGCGACAAACTTCTATTTCACTTAGCTTATATAAGAAATTATTTCCATTATTAAATTATTTCACATTAATCTACATTACATACATACATACGTACACGATAATCATTACCTACATCTCAAAATCATTGACAACGAAATTTTGTAAACTTTTTATTCTATTTTAAATAGATGCATGCTTCATTTTTTATCGTAAAGACTTTAACGACTTATTTTAAATGTTATTGACAATTTAATATTTACCTGTAAGTGAATTCGGTAATACTGATCCGCATCAGTAGCACTAAAAACATTAAGTGGAGATACCGTTGCGAAACGTGTTGGATTCATGGATGAAATATATAAAAAACAATGATAATAGAGCGAGGCAAGTCTAGAAAATACTTCGAAAATTTCATGTAAATGAGGAGCTAACGCTGTTGGTAACATCGGCAATAGGCTTATCAATAACAGAAGTGCACTCATTAGCAACACTATGTCTTCCTCTACCTGCGCAAATACATTTATATATATATGCAATGAATATCGTTACAAATACTTTTCTTTAGCATAACTATGAACATAAATTGTATTAAGATTTTTTTAACGATACTATGAGACTCGTAAAAATCTTAATTCCATTACCTTAAGCAGATGAAGTAGCTGTTTGAAAAGAGTATGACTAGCCAATTTGTATAACCAGGTGGGTTGCCGTCGAGCTATATGACCCAGTAACGTGAGCGTGCGAACTTTATGCTCATTGTTAGTGGATTTAGCAACGAGCGTCTCGTTCAATTTATCGAACAGATGCTTATCATGAGGCTCTCTAACACCTGCTAAAACCTCCACAGCCCTTAGGGAATTGGTGGAAAGATAATAATCAAACAGCCCATTTACTAGCCAATTATCCTTAGCTAAAAACATTACGCAGCTTATAGATGGTGAATCATCAAATTTGTTATATAAGGATCGATATTGAAACTGCTATTTCAAACATAAGACTGTCGACTATATTATTAGGCTACTTACTAGATAAGAAATGATCATGAAAGACTTTCTTGATCTCCTCGACGTCGCTGAGCTTGTTAGACTCTAGCATGTGAAAAAGTTCTGCAACTCCAGTGCTGCTACCGACGCTGCTGTTAGTCATGCCGAAGTAGCCTTATTATCTTTGCCAATAAAGCCTCTTAGCTAGCTCCCCTCGCTGCCCAATACTTTAAACAAAAACCTGTGGCAAATTGCCACCGTTTCACCATCACAACACCGCTGCCCTTTCAGCCCTCCCTGTTCAATTAGATTCTTGATTGTCATTCGAATCTTGCTTTGTCACCGCTCCTACAAAAATAAATTCATTAATATTTGCATACTTCAAACATTTCTATTCAAATTACACTCCCACGCAAGGCCAGTCAATAGGGTGGTATTTAGTATTGGAATAACGGCGAGATAAATAAATACGAAATTTGTAATTTTCTTTTCTATCGTCTACGAATAACGATAAAAGAGATTTAAAAAAATGAACAATAAAGTGGTATTAACATTTAAAGCACGTGTACTCGAGCCACTTGGGTTCGCCCGAAAATCTATCTCTTTACAAGGGCAATTGCTAATTTATCCGCAATTCATTTTAAATGCCGTTTTGCGCAAAAATCAATCCACACACCCTTAAGTGCATTCATATGCGCGCGCACATGTGTATGCAGATTCCTAACAAAGCAGTATCGCAATAAATAAAACGGCCTAACAAAAGAGCAATTTACATTGGTACTTTTCATAAGAATAAAAGTACAAGGACAGAAGTAGAACATTTACACATTATATGTAAAATGAAGTGGAGTTCAGCATATCCATATAAACACACACTTTCATACAAACACGCGCGCGCGCGCGCATATATATATATACATATATATATATATTTATGAATATAAACATTTAACCAAATATACGTATGCATGGATGCATAAATGTATATATATAATGTGCGTACAAGTGTATATATGCATATTGTAATCGTGTATGTATGCATGTATGTATTAAATGAGCGTAATCAACGAAGGCCCATATATGCTTATAAAATCATCATAATCGAGAATCGCATAAACTTTTGACAGCTAATACCGTTTAACGTTCATCCAGCTCCGCGCACCATCGTACAAACAACCAATCACTCAATTTATAACAATTCAATATCCCAACTGGAAATCCCTGTCAAAAGTCGAGCCTCCTCGATCTTAACGTAGGGGGGGAGGTCGCGTCTCGCGTACCAAGGGATGCACGGCGCTCGTGTAATTGACGATAAATAATAACGCCGAGCGATTAAATGAACTGTCCGTTGTGCCGACGGACGACGATCAAGGAGATATAGGCAAAAGAGCGAAACAGCGCACCAATGATTACGGACCGAGACAATACAAATAGAAGCGTAAACGCAAAGCCAAATAGGAGACTCGTTGCTTTGGCTAGTTGTCAGCCCAACAGGTAGGCAGCGCCTCGATCTTTTTCTTATTTTCACGTTGCCGGCTTGCATTCGATTCTCATTTTCATACATCGCCGATTCTC